ATAGCTTGACTCCCTCTTCTTTGTGGCAGCCCCTGAGATATTGGAACACTGCTATCATGTCCCCCCTCGTCCTTCTCTTCATTAAACTAGACATACCCAATTCCAGCAGCCGTTCCTTATATGCTTTAGCCTCCAGTCCCCTAATCATCTTTGTTGCTCTTCTCTGTACTCTTTCCAAAGTCTCAACATCTTTTTTACAACCATTGTTCTATTATTCCATAGGACAAGGTTGTTGCCGTTCAGTTCTGCAACAATGGAGACAGGTAAGGATTTCTCAAGATGTTCTTCTACTAGAAGGTTGTTTTTCTCAAATGCTTTATTAAAAAAACCAAACAAACTTAAAAGGGTGATTAAGAAAGAGAAACAACTGGAAGGTCCAGTTCTAAACTTGGGATGGTATACATATTGTCCCTACTTAGCTATTGTAACACCTTACATGTTCTATAAAGATTAACCTTCATGAAAGTACATTCATTAAATGCATGAGCTGTTGAATAATCTCTAAATTAAAATGTAAGCTAGTCATAGATATGGGTAGCTTCTCAAGTACATCCTTAATTTTATAGTACGTAGTTATTAAATATGCAGTGAAAGTTGAATGTGAACCGGCTGCATCAAACAGCATTTCATTGGATGAAGTCTGTCTGTCTGTCTCTGTCTGTCTGTCTCCCTCTGTGTGTGTGTCTGTCTGTCTGTCTCTCTCTCTCTCTCTCTCTCTCAGTGTAAGTGTAGGTGTTTGTGTGTGTGTTATATATGCGTCTGAAAAGCTAATGTTCTTTGATATTAGCTTGTATAAAGTTACTGGTTGAAGACTGATGGGAAGATTATTGGGCAGCCTTTGAGCATGAAGAAGACCAGAGGCTGAAATGGACACAGATAAAGCAGGGCCTGATCCAAACAGCATGGAGTAATTGTTCTTTCAACTCTGAAATGCAGGTTAAGATTTGTCAGTGGAAGCAGAGATGGTACAGCCAGAGTTTGGCAATACCAGCAGCAAGAATGGAAGAATATCGTCCTGGATATGGCCACTAAAATGACTGGGTAAAAAAAAAAAAAATCAAAAGCTTTTTGTTTTTGCTGAGCAGAGATTAACACTAGACTAACAACCAAGTAAGCAATACCCTAATCAAGAAACACCGATGCAGACAAACAAATTAACACTAAACAACAGTTTAATCAAGAAACCGCCAAGAACACTTCCACCAACACAGATAAGGACCAACCCCACTTCTTTCTAGCACTGGTGATATCACCTAGTTTGGGTAATGACACGTCTGCAAGAAAACCATCAAGCTCAGAAAGCACCAAGGAGCTCACAGGTCAACCCTAAGCTACAAATATTTCCTTCTGTTGGTATTGTAGTATTGATCAATTTATCATTATTGATCATTTGCCCTTTTGCTATGATGCTGTTGTTGCTTTAATTTTCCCAGGAACAACGTCCTGTCTGGAGAAGACAAAGTGTCCAAGCTGAAGGTGACAATGGTAGCCTGGGATCGTTACGATGCCACTGTTATCACAGCAGTGAACAACTTCCTTCTGAAAGTGTGGAATTCTTCTACTGGACAGCTTCTCCATACTTTATCTGTAAGTTTAAGAAAAAAAAACTACCTAAGTTGGGGTTGTTACAGAGATTAGCATTTTAAACCTCTGTAGGCCTTTCAGACTTTGAAACCCGGATGCCTCCAGTTTGCACATCTTCAAATCCGAATTCGGATCTTGCTTAGCAATGAAAATTCCATTCCTAATTGTGATCGTAATTTGAGGACTACCTTTAATTTTGTCAAAGATACCCAAAGCACCAATATGGTGCAAATAACGTGCTTGAAATAATGACTTTCATATTTAATGTTTTATTTTCCAATCAATTTGGCAAATAAAACTACACAGGCTTCCTTGAGGAAAGATGGACTGAGAATTCAACATTACTTTTTTTTTGGATTTACCTCAAAAGCAGGTTTGGGTAACGTAGAATCAAGATCACGTGACGTGTTAATGCCACTTTACAATGCCTTGGCAAGGCCACACTTGAAATACGGCATCCAGTTTTGGTCACCACAATGTAAAAAAGATGTTGAGACTATAGAAAGAGTACAGAGAAGAGCAACAAAGATGATTAGGGGACTGGAGGCTGAAACATATAAGGAACGGCTGCTGGAATTGGGTATGTCTAATTTAACGAAGAGAAGGACGAGGGGGGACAGGATAGCCGTGTTCCAATATCTCAGGGGCTGCCCCAAAGAAGAGGGAGTCAAGCTATTCTCCAAAGCGCCTGAAGGCAGGATAAGAAGCAAGGGATGGAAACTAATCAAGGAGAGAAGCAACCTAGAACTAAGGAGAAACTTCCTGACAGTTAGAACTATCTATCAAAACAATCTATCAGTGGAACAACCTGCCTCCAGAAGCTGTGAATGTTCCAACACTGGAAGTTTTTAAGAAGAGACTGGACAGCCATTTCTCTGAAATGGTATAGGGTTTCCTGCCTGAGCAGGGGGTTGGACTAGATGACCTCCAAGGTCCCTTCCAACTTATTATTATTATTGTTGTTGTTGTTATTATTTTCTGGCTTTCCAAGTGTTTTGAACTCAGCCTGGTTCATCAACACCATGCTATGAAAATCTTACCATCCTCATGTAACTATGAAAACTACCATCCACCTTTGTATCTTTATCTTTATTTTTATATTTGTTACAGGGCCACGATGACGAAGTGTTTGTTTTAGAAGCTCACCCATTTGACCAAAGGATCATGCTTTCTGCGGGCCACGATGGGAACATTTTCATTTGGGACCTTGAGAAAGGAACAAAAATTCGCAATTACTTCAATATGGTAAGACCTGACCTGAAAAAGAAGAATAGAATAGAATAGAATAGAATAGAATAGAATAGAATAGAATAGAATAGAATAGAATAGAATAGAATGAGTGGAGAGTGGAGTGGAGTGGAACGGAACGGAACAGAATAGAACAGAATTCTTTATTTGCCAAGTATGGTTGGACACACAAGGAGTTCGTTTCCGGTGCATAAGCTCTCACTGTACATGCAAGTAATAGTGGTAATCATGATCATATACAACATGAAAATACATTCTATATATCTGTCAAGCAGATTGGCGTTTTCACCCGAGAGAAATTAACATGACTTCCTTGAGCATGTCTTTATTTCTCAGATGTACACGGATGTACTCACATAACTATTGACAATGTGTCAGAGCACGCACAGTCTTACTGTGCTGAGGTAACCCAGAAGTAAATGCAGTACACAGTGGTTTGTATTAAATGGTGGTTTATAACACGCTATCTACAAATATACCCTAGAAATAAAATACATACACATGGTGAAACAGCAAACTCCAATATATAGCAGTTACAGCAGTCAAATGGACGAGAGAGAAAAACTCCAGGAAAAAAACTTTCCTTTTATACTCAGCCTCTTAAAGGCACAGGCATGCTGAGTCAAACAGTTATATACATGGAGTCTTTCTCTTCCCCCTCTCTCTCTTTTTTTTAACAGATCGAGGGCCAGGGCCACGGTGCAGTATTTGACTGCAAATTCTCCCCAGATGCTCAGCATTTTGCTTGCACAGATTCACACGGCCACCTCTTGCTGTTTGGTTTTGGGTGCAATAAGTACTTTGAAAAGGTAAGGTTGAACATTTCTAGAGCTGAATTTGCCTTGGAAATGAGCCTAGCATGTGCGTTACATAATTCAGATTAAACTGTTATCAATATTGTCAATATATGGGCAAGCTTAAAGATGTGGTTTGGGTTCCATTCAAGCCAATGCAGGCTTCTGATAAATGACCTTTGTTGTTTCTGCTCTGTGATAGTAACTTTGTAATAGTTAATGCAGATTCCTTCCAATGGTGTATTTGGGATATGTTGGATAATAGGTCCCATAATCTCTGCCAATCATACCTTGAATTGGTCTTGGAAATAAATGGATTAGGAAAAATAAGTGCCATATAATTCACTCTCCTGAGAAACTGGGAGTTATCCCAATCCCTGTGGTTTTTGAAATTGTATACACCACTAGTCCCACGTTTCAGAACTTCTGTTTGTATTGACAAGAGCAAACGTTAGGCTTGTTTAATAAAAACAACAAATCATCAAAATCTATTCCGTTGTGCATATACATCAGATTTGTGATTTTGATTAGAGCCGCTTTATCCTTAAAGCGGCACCTACCGGTAAGTTATAAGTAAATACATTTGAATGCTTGGATGAGGCCATGCTGAAACTTTCCAACTTCCAGACAATTTCTGTCCATAAAAATGGTATTAAGATTAGAGCATTAATGTAATCTTTGAGTTGTATCAAGAGTTCGTTTTAATTGTTCGCTCGTGTCCATCCTTGGTGACTTTATAGGCAAGTGTTCTCCATGCTAGCCTGTCAAGGATAGCATTTGTCTGAAAGGGTATAGGGTTGCCTGCTTGAGCAGGGGGTTGGACTAGGAGACCTCCAAGGTCCCTTCCAACTCTGTTGTTGTTGTTATACACAGCTTTTTTCAGTTGTTGGATGTTCACTTTTGTATCAGCTTTGATGTTATCAAGCCACGTAGTCCTGTGGTTTTGGCTTCTAGTCATGTATCTGGCATTATACCATTCAGCACCTCTCTATTAGTTACTCTGGCTGTCCACGGTTGTTGTTGTTAGTTGCGAAGTCGTATCCAACCCATCGCGACCCCATGGACAACGTTCCTCCAGGCCTCCCTGTCCTCTACCATCTTCTGGAGTCCATTTAAGCTCACGCCTACTGCTTCAGTGACTCCATCCAGCCACCTCATTCTCTGTCGTCCCCTTCTTGTATTGCCCTCCATCTTTCCCAGCATTAGGCTCTTCTCCAGTGAGTCCTTCCTTCTCATTAGGTGGCCAAAGTACTTGAGTTTCAACTTCAGGATCTGGCTTTCTAAAGATCAGTCGGGGTTGATCTCCTCTAGGACTGACCGGTTTGATCGCCTTGCAGTCCAAGGGACTCGCAGGTCCAACTTTCACCAGCCATACATTGCAACTGGGAAAACCATGGCCTTGACTATACGTACTTTTGTTGGCAAGGTGATGTCTCTGCTTTTTAGTATGCTGTCTAGATTTGCCATCGCTTTCCACGGTACATGCAGTAATTTACACCAGCACTACAGTTCAAAGAGGCCGGTTCCTCTTTGATCAGCCATTCTTGGTGTCTACAGCTCTCACACCCATACACCATTATAGGGAAGACTATTGCTCTAACTAGCTTGCTTTTTGTATTTATAATAATAATCATTCATATATATATGTGTGTGTGTTCTTTGTGATTCATGTAGATTCCAGATCAGATGTTCTTCCATACCGATTATCGGCCGTTGATCCGTGACGCTAACAATTATGTGCTCGATGAACAAACCCAACAAGCCCCACATCTCATGCCTCCCCCCTTCTTGGTAGATGTGGATGGGAACCCCCACCCCACAAGATCCCAGCGACTGGTGCCAGGGCGGGAAAACTGCAAAGACGAACAACTTATCCCTCAACTGGGCTACGTAGCAAACGGTACAGAATTTCTAACAGAGCTGATGTGAATCTGGAGGCGGTGGGGATCCTTAGAGCATCACCTAGGCCTCGTTTGCATTACGGCCTGTGAAAAGGGCCCAGAGATGGTAACACGGAGATTGCTAGTCAGGATCCAGTTACGATATGGTAATTCCTTGAAAAATGCCTGTACGCTTTGCACCTTTGGAATGTAATAGAGGTGATCCTCAACTTACAAACAAAAACTGAGCCCAGAATGTATCTCCTAAGCGAGGCATGGGTTAAGTGAGTTTTACCCTGTTTTATGACCTTTCTTGCCACAGTTGTTAAGTGAATCACTGCAGTTGCTCAGTTAGTAACACTGTTGTTCGTTGATTGTGGCTTCCCCATCGACTCTGCTTTGTCAGAAGATTACAAAAGGGCACCACGTGACCTTGGGACACAGCGATGGTCGTAAATATGCATCAGTGGCCAAGCATCTGAATTTTGATCACGTGATCATGGGGGGAGGGATGCCGCAACAGTCGCAAGTGTAAAAAATGGTCATCGGTATCTTTTTTCGGTGTCGTTGTAACTTGTCACCATAAACGAATGGTGATACGTTGACTTAGGATCGATGGCTTCTTGGCCATGTAGATGTCCTGGTTCCGAAAGATGAAACTCTTCAAAGAACTTTGAGGCATTGTTTACCTCAAAGAATCTTTAATCGAGCAGCATAGCTTCGGTACGTACATAGTTGAAGCCAGAATCTGAATTCCCCTCCCCTAAACACATACTATCAAAGCACAATTCCCTCCTCCAATTAGCAGTCATAAATCACATTCTCCAATTAGTTTGAAATGCAGACCTTTCCTCAAGTTCCATAACCCGCCATTCCTTATCGTCTCTTATTTCAAACAACCTTGAAGAGGTTGTTATGTCCAACTAATCCCCTACTGCGATATTGTTATGTCCAACTAATCCCCATACACATTCTTCCCCCTCCCACCCCAGCATCATCTGATTTTAACTCTAAAAGTAACACACCGGTTAAAGAGAAAATGGCTGCATCTTCAAATATTGTCAAAGCGAGAACATCCGATGTTAGCAGCGTTGACAGTAAAGTTATGATAGAAACCCCCCCCAGGTACTTATGACCTAGTTGCAATGGCTGCCCCCCACCCCCCACCCCGTGGTCACTTGACCACATTTTGGACAACTGATAACCTGCCTCTATTTTACAGCTGTTTGCAGTCTGCCACATTTTTTTTGCCAGGAAACAGCACTTTTGCAACAATTTTATGGAAGAGAAATAGCGTTAAATCTCTTCCAGAATGGCGTAGATGCAAACAGAGAGTGTCTGTTTGCACCTGGTCTGTCTTTTGTGGGTTAGATCTAACGGGAATCTCTGTTTATAAAAAAGAAGATGGGTGTGTGGGGGGGGAAACATCAGAGTCTAGACATCACAAACAAAAGAACAGAGCAAGTAATATGCAGGTGCCGTATTTCCCCAAAAATAAGACCCGGTCTTATTTTATTTTTGCCTCCAAAAGAGGCACCAGGTCTTACTTTTGGGGCCGGTGGGGGTCTTTTCCACTCCCCTCCGGCACTGACCGCCCCGTCCAGCCAGCGCACTGCTTCTGGGGCTGAAGGAGCAGCTTCATTCTGCAGATGAGAATGGAGCTCCGGCTTGCATTTTGCAGTCAGAGGCCTTTCCGGAAGGCTTCTGCAGCCGAGTTCCGAGCTACAGATTGAATCCATAGCTCGGTATTCGGCTACAGAGGCCTTCCGGAAAGACGTCTGGTGGCAAAATGCAGGCCGGGGCACACCGCAGAAGAAGTGGGCCGGCGAGGAGAGGCCTGGCTGCAAGGTAAGCAGGTGTGGGGCAGCTCCACCTCCCCACCCCTGCCCTAGCTTGATTTTTCGGTGTGCGCCTTGCCCCAAAATGAGGGCTTATTTTGGGGGTAGGGCTTATATTAGGCCCACCCCCAAAAATCAAGCTAGGGCTTATTTTCAGCATAGGCCTTACACTTCCGGGGAAACACAGTAGGACCAACATTTTTAGTGTCGCAAGGGTGTTCTCTCGGATGGTGAGGGGAGCTCTTAGGGGCAAAATTGATGCTTTAAGCCTGGACATGCTAAGGAAGCTCTTTTTTTTGCCCCTGAAATCTCCAGAGCTCTCCCCTCCCAGTGCTCCTTCCCCTTCCGAAAATGCAGTATTCCTTACCCTCTCTTTGATCTCCCAAAGGTGATGGGGAAGTGGTGGAGCAGGTGATCGGGCAACAGACCAACGATCAAGACGAGAGCATCCTCGATGGGATGATTAGGGAGCTGCAGCGGGAGCAAGATCAGAGAAGGATCGGCGACAGGGACGCCCCTCCAAACCCTCCGCGGAGCAGATCGCAGTCTGTGAGCAGTAAGAGTCTCTCCTCCTCTCATTCTTCTGCAAGAGTGTAGAAAGTCACAACTCCCTCTCCACTGTCTTTTTAATGAAGCAAAAATGGTAGCAGGTTTTGTTTTTTGTTTTTTTGCTTAGCTCAAGTGTGTTCTGATTTGGAGAGGTCCTTGGTGCTTTCTTAGCCTGGCTGTTTTCTTGCAGATGTTTCATTGCCCCAACTAAGTAACTACTAGCACTGATGATGTTACCTAGTTGGGTAATGAAATGTCTACAAGAAAACAACCAAGCTCAGAGCACAACGACTCAACAGTCCTCGTCCTTCCTCCTCCTCCTCCTCCTCCTCCTCCTCCTCCTCCTCCTCCTTTCCACAAACCCCACTCCCTACTAGCACTGATGGTGTTACCTAGTTGGGTAATGAAATGCCTGCAAGAAAACAACCAAGCTCAGAGCACAACAAGGACCCCACAGTCCTCGTTGTCCTTCTTCCTCCTCCACCACCTCCTCCTCCTCCTCCTCCTCCTTTCCACAAACCCCACTCCCTACTAGCACTGATGATGTTACCTAGTTGGGTAATGAAATGTCTGCAAGAAAACAACCAAGCTCAGAGCACAACAAGGACCCCACAGGCCTCGTTGTCCTTCCTCCTCCTCCTCCTCCTTCTCCTCCTCCTCCTTTCCACAAACCCCACTCCCTACTAGCACTGATGGTGTTACCTAGTTGGGTAATGAAACGTCTGCAAGAAAACCACCAAACTTAGAAAGCCCCAAGGACCCCTCATTTCAGCCCTGAGCTACACATATTCTCTGTTATTGTTCTGATTTTGTTTTGCTCATTTTGGCAGTTTTGAGGAGCCCAAGCTTGGATATGGCTTCCCCCACAAACGTCGGGCTCAGACGGAGTGGCCAGATCGAAGGGGTCCGTCAGATGCACCACAATGCTCCGAGAAGCCAGATGGCCACAGAGAGAGATCTCATGGCATGGAGTAGGAGGGTAGTAGTAAACGAGCTGCCTGTTGGACTTAGCAGGTAAAAAAAAAATGGCTTTGTCAAGAGACATGTGGGCCGGGGCTCGCTTAAAATGATCCTTAGGAGTTCCCCATAGAGACACAGTCCTCAACCTACAACCATCTTTCTAGCAACTGTTCAAAGTTACGATGGTGCTGAAAAACATGGCCACCAGTTCTTGCAAATGCAACCATCACATGTGTCCCCTTGGTCACATGATCACAGTCGGGGTGCTTGGCAACCGGCATATGTATTTACAAGAGTTGCATTGCAGCATCCCAGGGTCACGTGACCCCCATCTGCGATCTTCCCAGGTGATTTCTGGGGAGGGAAAGCCAGATATGTTTAACAACTGCGCCCCAAAAGGTTGTAAAAGCCTAGTGATGTGATGACTTACTTAATGACCCCCACCTCACTTAATGAAGTTCTGGATCCCACTTGTGGTCCTAAGTCAAGGACTACCTTTATAGTCTCTTTAGCATCTTGGGAAATTAGCCCATCATGCTGGCTGGGGAATTCTGGGAATCGAAGTCCGCCTACCTGAAAATTGCCAAGGTTGAGAAACACAAGTCTAAGCAATTTAAAGGACCTAGCAGAACGCCTCAGCTGCAGAGAGTAGGTAATATTGCTAGTCCCTCTTCCTCCTCAGAAGAATTTAAAAAAAAAAGTTTAAAAGCAAATAATGGGAGATCTTTGAAAATATTTGGACAATAACCCAAATTGGTTATTTTTTTTTCCTCAAGAGTTCAGGAAGAATGCCGAGCAGCCAAAGGTGAATTGGAAATCCACCTGTATACTCTTGAAAAGAAGAGAAAGCCATCTCACACTTTGCAGAGGGTGAGAAATGTTTTCAAAAATGGGATTTTTTTTTCCAGGCACGGACCCCCTTCACTAACCAGTTGGAAATTTAACCATTCTGTATACGGACGGATGATAGGATGCATTCTTGGTAGAAGCGAAGCCTTCTAATTCTAATTCTAATTCTGTTTTCTAATCCTAAAACTTTAAAATAACAGAATTACCTGACTTAAAAATTTTTTTGAACCAGACTGTTTCCAAATTTGTAATTGCGGTTTATGTTTGTACAAGAAACAAAAAGGCCAGGCTGTTTTCTCCCAGTCTACGTACGTCCTTGTTACTTCACAAAGACAAACCCTCTTTTAACAGTAGACTGGAAAATAAACCCTTTTTATTTGAGTTACAGACCTGATAATTGTCCCAGAAAACCAAAGCAACAGAACACTTTTCCAATGGAGACCTTGTCCAAAAGCAAAACGGAGCACGAGTCAAACAGGAAATAACTCACAGGCAAAATAAACAGACCATGATCTCTTGACTCTGTAGTTCTTTGCAAACGGTTGCCTCCAGCAACCAGCCCTGCCCACACATTCCCTTTTTGTTACGCAGCCCCCAAGGCGTGGCTTCTCACTGCTTTCTCCTCCTTCCCTGGAGTCACCCCATTGCCTTCCTCTGTCCTACTCGTGTGACCTGCCTATGTTTACGAGTGTCTCTGAGGTCTTCCAGCTGTGCTTCCTCCGGGTCCGACTCAGCTTCCCAGCACAGCTGGCTCTCAGCTTGATCACGAGTGGAAGGACCAGCCTCTTCATTAGTTTATAAGTCCTGCAGCTCATCAGAGCCTCCCTCCGACTCTGATGGTTCTCCAGCCTCCTCCTCCTCCTCCTCTGATTCCCCAGACTCAACTACCGGGATCACAGGCTGGCACGGAATCACAACACAGGCAGGCAGGCAGGCATGTGTGCCTAGAATTTGAGATGCCATTCATAGCTACATTCAAGAACATAAAAACTTGGTTCACTTTAAGACATTCCTTGCAGCAAATGCTTCCCCCTTCAAATTTAAATTTCTATCTCCTGTTTTTTTCCTGGTCATCCTAAAAGAGCGATTATCAACCCGGTAGTGGGCGGTCTTTGCGCAGAAACCAGCGCAAGCGGCAACACGCTTACCAGACGCGTTCCACCATTGAACATCACTCACAAAGTGCAAGGAGAAGTTCCCACACCCAGGAAGACTCGGAGAGCTCCTCAGACGTAAGTGTCAGCGCTGCGACCACTGAGAGGCTGTAGCCATTTTACCTTTTGCCTTCGTTGTTTTTATTACTATTATTATTATGATTTGGTATTTTCAGATGGAGAGGAGGGGAGGGGAGAAAGCTTGAGTTGTTTCAGTTAGTCATAACAATTGCAGCTGTGTGAGAATCAAGGTCAATGCTAGAAAAAGTTTTGGCGGGCTGAAAAGTTGGGAGGAGAGCCTGTGTTTTAGAATTATTGGTGAATGTGACTTATGACAGCCTTTCTGGGGTGGGAAGACAACCTCAGGCTTGTTTTATTGGTTTAATAATAATAATAAAGTTGGAAGGGACCTTGGAGGACATCTAGTCCAACCCCCTGCTCAGGCAGGAAACCCTATACCAGTGATAGCGAACCTATGGCACGGGTGCCAGAGGCAGCACTCGGAGCCCTCTCTGTGGGCACACGCACTGTCTCCCAGGCCCCACCTCCTCCCACGGCCCCCTCCTCACCAGCCGCCCCCCCAGAGGATCGTCACCCCTGGGCGCGGCCCACACAAAGCAGCGCAGCCAAGGACATGGTAGCTGGGCAGCGGGGACAAGACTCCGCCCTTGCGCCCCGTTGCACGCAGATGATGCTGTTGGGTATGGGCGGAGGGCGTGGCCGCCATGGTGCTGCTGGGCTGCCTGGGTGATCTGTTGCGGGCCGTGGAGGTGGTGGGTGGCCCAGTGGGCGGGGCGGAGCAGGGACGGGTGGAGGGGCGGTTTTGGGGCATTCAGTTTCTAAAAGATTCGCCATCACTGCCCTATACCATTTCGGACAAATGTCTGTCCAGTCTCTTCTTAAAAACTTCTAGTGTTGGAGCATTCACCGCTTCTGGAGGCAGGTTTGTTTTAGTGTGTGATTGCCTTTTGTCTTGCTGTTTCCCTTTCGTTTAAAAAGAAAAATAAAAAAAAATTATACAGGGAGTCCTTGACTTAAAACGACCCACAGTTGGGAAGCAGGATTTCCATTGCTAAGCTTAACATAGGAAGACCTCACCCAAAAGAAAAAGGAATGAAGAACATTTTGTGTTTTTGTCTCCAATTCAGGACGATGATTCCGTGGGCACCAGTGATGGCTCTGGAGAGGACAACGTAGCTGCGTGGCAGAGCGAAAGCAGCTCCAGGTGTTTTGATTGCCCTTCACAAAAAAGAGAATATTTTAATTATTATACAAAAAGCACACTGCTTCTCGATAACTATTCTAAGGCCCTGGAATGAATGAATGAATGAATGAATGAATGAATGAAATTGCATCAAGAATATTTTGTAGAAGGATTATTAGAATTTAGACAATTTAGTGTAGTGGTTAAGGCACCAGGGGAGACTAATCCTGCCTTGAGTGAAAAGGCAGCTAGATATCCTTGGGCCAAAGGCATCTTGGTGTCCTTGGGCCAGTCACTTACTCTCAGACCTAGAGAGGAAATAATAATAAAGTTTGAAAAACTTTGCCAAGAAAATTGCAGGGCCTCGTCCAGGCAGTCTCTGAGAATTGGCAGGGTTGAATGGAAAGAGAGAGAGAGAAAAAAAAATAGGATTTGGCGGCAAATGAAAATTTAACTAGAATTAAAGTAGAAAAAATTAACTAGCATTAAACTAGAAAGGCATAAACTTGAGACGGTTAACATTTCCCTTTCTATGACTTCTTTTAGGCAGGCGGCAAGCTCTAACTTCCCTTTGAAGCCCTTCCAGTTGCATTTCATCCCATTCATTCGTTTCTCATTCTTTCCCAACGTGACAATTCCAGCGATTCGTCCAGCGAATATTCCGACTGGACCGCCGACGCTGGCATCAACCTCCAGCCCCCGAAAAGGCAGACGAGACAAGCGGCTCGCCAGATCTGCAGCAGCTCCGAAGATGAGCACGTCAAAGAGACAAAAGGGCAGGAAGAGAAGCGCAAGAAACCCAAGCAGGCTCGGAAAAAGGTAAGCGGGTCTCCCAAAAAAAAGAAACAAACAAAACCCTACAGACAAAACAAAAGCGTTTGATTAAGGCAATGGTGGCGAACCTATGGCACGGGTGCCATAGGCGGCACTCGGAGCCCTCTCTGTGGGCACACGTGCCGTTGCCCCAGCCTTGCCTTCCCCCGCGACCCCCTCACCAGCAGCCCCCCTGGAGGAGAGTCGCCCCCGAGCGTGGCCCACGCGGAGCAGTGCAGCCAAGGACATGGCAGCCAGACAGAGTAGCCAAGACTCTGCCCTCACGCCCCATTGTGCACAGTTGATGCTGCGGGGCGCGGGCAGAGGGTGTGGCCGCCATGGCGCTGCTGGGCGATCTGCAGCGGGCCCTGGAGGCGGTGAGTGGCCCTGCGGGCAGGCGGGGTGAGGGCGGGGCAGGGGGTTGGAACGGGGCCGGGGCCAGTTTTTGGGCACTCGGTCTCTAAAAGGTTCGCCATCACTGGATGAAGGCAAGGTCATCCCCCATCGCCTTAAGATCTGTGCATCAGTTATTCGGTCCTTCTGCTTGTCTTTGAACCTAGAAATGTTTCTGGTTTTTTTTTAAGAAACCCAGTGGATTGCTGTCAGCGGATGCTGAACCTACGGAAGAATGGTTTGCTCCTCACTGGATCTTGGACACCATCCCGCGGCGTTCTCCTTTTGTCCCACAGATGGGAGATGAGGTACTCGCAGGTTGCAATGTTTAGCTCAGCTTAATTTCCAATGACTACACCGCATCTGCTGTAAGGGCTTACCGACTCATTTCCTAATCCCTCACCTAATAAAATAACCCGGGAAATACTGGTCTCTTTTATGCACAGTTTCTTTTATCAGATCAGCACGAAGTAGTTTCTTTGAATGTGGCCAAATTTCATTATACTATGAGGAAAATTAGGCAGACTCTAACTGCCCACTGATAATCCACCACGAATCGTAATATATTGTTTTGTATTATTATTATTATTATTATTATTATTATTATTATTATTATTATTATTATTATTGTTGTTGTTGTTGTTGTTGTTGTTGTTGTTGTTGTTTTCAATGCTTTTATACCTAGTGCTGGTCTGCAACCATAATAAAAATGGATGGATGGATGGATTAGACCCCAATGAAATTTGCAGAAATAATTTTAGCCACATCTAATAAAACTGAAGGGATAAACTTTTTTCAGACATGCCGGCACAATCCCAGTTCATGTCAAGGGATAAACTTTTTTCAGACATGCCGGCACAATCCCAGTTCATGTCAGAATTTACTTTGGGGAATGACTACAATAGATTCAAAGTATCTTTTTAAGAATTATGCTATTTGGAATAAAGTATTTATACCAAAAGTATTTAAGTACTTTTGGGGGGTGGGGGAGTTTACTGCAAGGGTGGAACTTTGAAGAAGTTATTTATTTATCTGTTGAGCTTTTTATTTTTTTTATTTTTTTACATTTTGTAAGCTGCTCAGAGTCACCTATGTGTGAGTTGGGCAGCTATATAAATTTGTTTAATAAATTTATAGCGTTTGGTATTACGAATTTGCTAAAACATATGAAGAACGGCTGCAGGACTGGGGTTTGGCTAGTCTAAAGAAAAGAAGAAATAGCAGTGTTCTAATTCTATTCTGTTCTGTTCTATTCTATTCTATTCTATTCTATTCTATTCTATTCTATTCTATTCTATTCTATTCTCTACCACATCGACCTTTTGAGTTTGTTGTTCTTTTTATGAATTGCAAGTAAAACTGGAAAACACTTCAGGCGTGTTGATATTCTGATTTGGTTTACAAACACATTTGCAGAGGTTGTCTCAAGTGGAACCAGAATTGTCCCCAAGGACTGGAATTCAGTGTCAGTTATGCTGCTGTCTCAGCCCGGTGCCCCTTTACATGTTCAGGATACACAAGCAGCCCATCTGCTCAGGCAGCTGTAGGTTCTTTTGATCAAAAGACGACTTATCATCTACTTTATGCAACAGACTATGTCTCTAGGTTTGGACACCGTGAAAAAAACCATTTCTTTCTTTTTCCTTTTTCCTATGATTTGATGAAACAAGCAAAGGGACTCTGAAACATGTGAAGTTACGATTCATTAGCAGATGTAATCTGGGAACCCTTGTAATATGCAATTGATATACTTTCCGGAGTTCCAGAGATAAGCAGTAATTAACAAATAAATAGGTTTTATTTTTAGGATGCCGTATTTGAAACATTTTAATGGAAGTTGCTTTCTGAAGCCCATGTATAAACAGCCCTGTTTTCCCACCTTCCTTTCTTCCAGATAATCTATTTCAGGCAAGGGCACGAAGCTTACGTGCGTGCAGTTCGGAAAGCAAAAATTTATAGCGTTAACTTGCAAAAGCAGCCATGGAATAAAATGGAACTCAGGGTAAGCAGTCGAGAATAATGTTTTGGGTGGGTTATTGATTGTGGCCAGAATGCACTTTATATCATGTCCAACCATTAGTTTAGCCCAGCGTTGAGAAACCTTGGTAACTTTAAGGTGGGTGGATTTCAACTCCCAGAATTCCCCACCCAGCTGTGTCCTATTCAGAAGTAGCTTTTAGGTAATAGTTTCCAGGTAAGGGTTTTCCCCAGTCCCGCCTACGGATGCCATGATTTGAATCTGGCACAAAGAGCTCTTGAAAACAGCCCTGTCTTTGATGAAGGAGTTTGATAGGATATGAACATTTCTGCCTGATTGGCTTCTGAACCAATGAATGAATGGATGGATGAATATAAAATATAACATAAAAAACTTTGAGCCAAGTATGTATATCGTGCTATAAGGAAAATAGGCCACTGTATTGTTGTTGTTAATTGCGAAGTCGTGTCCGACCCATCGCGACCCCATGGACAACGTTCCTCCAGGCCTTCCTGTCCTCTACCATCTTCTGGAGTCCATTGAAGCTCACGCCTACTGCTTCAGTGACTCCATCCAGCCACCTCATTCTCTGTCATCCCCTTCTTCTATTGCCCTCAATCTTTCCCAGCATTAGGCTCTTCTCCAGTGAGTCCTTCCTTCTCATTCGGTGGCCAAAGTACTTGAGTTTCAACTTCAGGATCTGGCCTTCTAAAGAGCAGTCGGGGTTGATCTCCTCTAGGACTGACCGGTTTGATCGCCTTGCAGTCCAGGGGACTCGCAGGAGTCTTCTCCAGCACCATAGTTCAAAGGCCTCAATTCTTTGGCGCTCAGCCTTTCTTGTGGTCCAACTTTCACAGCCATACATTGCAACTGGGAAAACCATGGCCTTGACTATACACACTTTCGTTGGCAGGGTGATGTCTCTGCTTTTTAATATGCTGTCTAGATAGGGCAAATCTAGGCCACTGTATATATCAGGTCAAAAACCAAGAATGACATATGGCAATTCTCCCAAGCCGAGTTCTTTATTATTTCACACAATAAAGAACTGGGAAGATTCTGTCTATAGGTGTGAAACAATAAAGAACTCATCTTATAACAGTAAGCTGTGACCGGGGTTGGGGGGGGGTGTTCCTTGTTTATTAAGCCACCAGTAAAGTAACAGTACAGTGGCTCTGTATAACCTTATCCTGATTTGACTCTGATTCTAAGGATGCAGTGATGGCATCCACGTTTTATTCTCGTCATTGCTAGAATTGAAGTAAGAAGACATTCAAAGGCGCGGTCCCCTTAAATGCTCCTTGCCTAGGTGTGTTTTGAAATTCAAAACAGGAAGTAACCCTTAGCTGTTGAACTCTTCTCTTTGACAAACAGGAACAAGAATTTGTGAAGGTTGTAGGAATTAAGTATGAAGTTGGACCACCTACGCTGTGCTGCTTGAAGCTTGCCTTTCTTGACCCCATCTCGGGCAAAATGACGGGGGAATCGTTTTCCATAAAGTGAGTAGCTCACTAAAGGTGTGGTTAATCTTCCTGGTGATCCTTTTGAGCTGTTGACTTCCTTCCCCTCCCATTCTTTTTCCAGTTTTTTTTTTTTTTTGCCAGGGATTCCCAAAAGGTTGCCGGTGGAGGAGTATCACAATCATTCTGTCATGTTGACACCCATGCAAAATTCTCTCCCACACCTAAAATTTCTTTATAGCTTAATTTTTGTCCTGCAGTATGCAAAAGGTATTCCTGTTCCACCATATGGAACAATAATTGAAGGCCTAAGTGATACTTAAATAAATTCAAAATTGTTATGTTTAGAAAGGCTACAAAGACCTGGCTCTCCACCCAGGATTTTGAGATGAGAGGGTGAGATCCCCTCAGTTCATTACACTTGCCATCTTTTATCAATTCTGTTGTAATGTCTCCAGATTGTTGTGAACCACCCAGAGTCATCAGTCACCACATATATTTCATTTTTTTTTATCATTTAACAACCACAATTGGGACTGGCAACTAAGTCACCAAGCAACGCAGTTGCTAAGTGATCTTTCTCCATAAGTGCTTACTTCCTTGCTCTTCCTTGGCTTTACAGACCTGTGAAGGTCATAAATGCGAGGATTAGTCCAAGTTACTTTTTTACCCCCATCGTAACTGTGAACGGTTGCTGAATGAGACAGTCCCTAAGTGACGACTGCTTTTGTTATTCTTTTTATGACGGTGCCTTCAAATCAGTTTTTGGCTCCTGCAATTGCCTGGACTAGTCCCTGTGGTTTTCTTCCATTCTTCCTGGCCAAATGTCACCCGACTGGTTTTGTACCTGTGGCAAGACTAGATTTCCCAGTTTTTAGCCTGGTGTCTGAACCACCACACCAAACTGGCTGTCTCAGCCACAGTATTTTAATTAAATTGTGCATTTTGGGAGATGCTACATGTGCCTTTCATTCTTCCCAAATATGTGTGATGGAGAACTCTCTCTCTCTTTTTTTTTTTTACTGCTCACCAACCATACATAGCAACCTTAGGCCATATGTAAGATGGAACTAGAATTCACAGTTCCTTAGTTTCTTGACTGATGTCTTAACCCAGGGGTCTTCAAACTTGGCCCTTTTATGACTTGTGGACTTCAACTCCCAGAATTCCTCAGCCAGGCAAGCTGGCTGAGGAATTCTGGGAGTTGAAGTCCACAAGTCATAAAAGGGTCAGGTTTGAAGACCCCTGTCTTAACCATTCCACCCAATTGGCTCTATTATTATTATCACCACCCCCTCTGTCTTCTTGGCTGAATCGTTTCGCTTTTGTCTCACAGGTATCATGACATGCCTGATGTTATTGACTTCCTTGTGTTGCATCAATTTTACAATGAAGCCAAAGAAAGAAACTGGCAGATCGGTATGTTTACCTGTTTGCTGTGAAACCTTCGAGCTTTTCCTGGTCTCTAAAAGAATGGCTTGGTTTAATATTTATTCTGCAGCATGATGTATAGTCTGCATTCACTTGGGTAAGCAGAACAACGGTTTCAGAACCAATCATTCTAAAATCTCTGCCGCCATTCGAAAAACATGGATCCTGATATATAGGTTGCCTTCAGACATTGTGGGTACTCCATCATTGGAGCTTTTTAAGAAGAGACTGGACAGCCATTTGTCCAGAATGATAGAGGACATGAAAGGCCTGAAGAGGGGGTTGGACTAGAAGATCTTTAGGTGCCTTTCATCTTTGGTATTCTGTTATTTTACAAGCCTCTGCAGATATTACTTTGTTTTCTCTGACTTTCTTATTGCAGGGGATAGATTTCGTAGCATAATTGATGATGCCTGGTGGTTTGGAACCGTAGAGAGTCAACAGCCATTCCAAGCAGAATATCCAGACAGTTCCTTCCAGTGCTACAGTGTTCAGTAAGGATGAATCTAAGTGTTGGAATTTTAGTGCAAAAAAACCCCAACAAATTCCCAGAAAAAAACATAAATTAAGTATTGATAATCCTCTGGTTTTGGAATATTTGTATCCAATGTCATGGTTCCGATAAATGAACCCATTAAAAGAACTTCAAAGCAAGAATTCTTCTTCAAAGAACATTTTATTAGGATACACAGTATGGGCACTACATAGTTGAACCCAAAACTAAATTCCCTTCCCCCAGATACAAAGTAACAAGTTGCAATTCCCCCCCCCCAAGCAGTCATAAATCACATTCTCCGATTAACCTGAAGCACGGCTCCCCCTAAACGTTATCTGCTTGTGTCCTTGAGTTCCCACAAAGCAGCATTATTATTATGGCTAGCTGAGCTCAAGCATTCAACCCTTCTACATTTGATTACTAAGTAGCAGAGAAAGCATGCAGAAAGCAAAGTAAAAAATGGCTGCAATTTCCCTCATTTGTCAGAGCGGGAACATCCATTGTCACAACGTTGACATCCAATTTCTTAGAATACAAGATTGCTGCTCAATTGCCATGAAAAGCTGATTTTTATGTTTCGTTTTAATTTCTGCCACCCAGTGGAATGCCGGAAATAAATTATGTACATTGGGTTAGGGTTTTATTGGCAGAATAGACAAAATGGGAACAAATTTGGTGGAGGTGGGAGGGTAGGGAGGACAACCTGATTAAAAAAAAAAAAAGATTGTGTTGAAAAATGGACCAGATCTTGCCCAAGAGTTGCAAGAAAAATTTTCCTAAAGTCTCTCCATGCATTTCTTAACTTGACTAAGCTATTTCTGAGATGTTTTATTGTTGTTGTTGTTGTTGTTGTTGTTTTATAGCTGGGACAACAATGAAAGAGAAAATATGAGCCCCTGGGACATGGAACCAATTCCAGAAGGAAGTAAATAATGCTTGTTTTCTTCCCTCCTTCATTTTCATAGAGATTGCATTTTTTTATAACGGCAAAATATTACAGCAGCATTACAGTTTTGCCAAGCCTCTACATAAAAAAGAATTCTATTCTTTTTTCAATCAGTGACTAGTTTTAAGTAATCTAAAGTAATACAGGAATAAGATGCAAATTAAAATAATAATATTTAATTTGACCTCATGGGCTACTTTCAGTTTACACACTGTTTTTAAAGCAGCATGGTAAAATTAAAATGAAAGCCCTTTCAGACATGCTCGAACAATTACTCTACAGCAGGGGTGCCCAACCAGGGGTGCTCACACCCCCTGGGGGGGGTGTAAGATGATATTCTAGGGGGTGCGAAAACTTGGGTTTTCAAAGTTATAGTGTATATGCATAATTTGTTGCCGTTATTTCGAACTTTTGTAAAGGGTGCGAGAACATATCAGAAGCGTTCTAGGGGTACAGGGTATAGAAAAAGTTGGGAACCGCTGCTCTACAGGATATATTTGAAGAATACAGGAGAAAGTCAAAGTAACCACTTTTTAATTGCATAACAGAGGGTTTTCTTATACAAAAATAATGGGCTATTTTCCTTTGGGGAAAGAGGGAGAGACAACAGTGGAAGTTTTTAAGAAGAGATTGGACAGCCATTTGTCCGAAATGGTATAGGGCAGTGATGGTATAGGGCACTCGGCAGAGACCGAGTGCCCAAACTGCAACCCAAAACCCACTTATGTATCGTCGGGTGCCGGGTGGGTGTGGTCCATTGGGTGGATGTGGCCCATTGGGTGGGTGTGGCCCATTGGGTGGGTGTGGCCCATTGGGTGGGTGTGGCCCATTGGGTGGGTGTGGCCCATTGGGTGGGCGTGGCCCATTGGTTGGGCGTGGCTGCGGTGATAACGGCAGACTGGGTGGGACTAAAAAGTTCAATCAATCCCAACTTTTCAAGATCTTTTTTTTCCCATGAGAAGTTGAAATTGACTGATTGAACCTTTTTTTTTTTTTGCACATGGTGGCGGAGGCCTAAAGCGAAAAGGTTTTATAAAACCCAGCTGAAGGCCTAGGACTGGGGCGACGGCGCGCGTGCCCACAGAGAGGGCTCTGAGTGCCGCCTCTGGCACCCGTGCCACAGGTTCTCCACCACGGGTATAGGGGTTTCCTGCCTGAGCAGGAGGTTGGACTAGATGACCTCCAATGTCCCTTCCAACTTTTTAAATTACTACTACTACTACTACTACTACTACTACTACTACTACTACTACTACTATTATTATTATTATTATTATTATTATTATTATTATTATTATTATTATTATTATTATTATTATTATTTATATATCATTACCATAATGCAACAACCTGATGCATCCAAGTAGCTCACTCTTTCCCCCTCCCTCACCCCCTCCCCCCCGCAGCGGCTTATCCAGATGAGGTGGGGGCTGGGGTCCCCGTGACCACGGAGGAGCTGGCATCTCTGCTGTACAAGCCCCAGGAAGGAGAGTGGGGCTCCCATTCCCGAGATGAAGAATGCGTGCGGGTTCTCCGAGGCATCGATCAGCTTCTTTCCCTAGGTACAGCAACGTTCATCCATAAGGTCTGGATTTGTCCTGTTGCCCCTGTTGGGGTAGAATCAGCAGAATTGTTAATTCTTAATGGTTCAGCTACCCACAGTTGCTGGGAGAAAGAGAAAAGAAAAGAAAAGAGAGAGAAAAAGAAAGAAAGAAAAAAAGGAGAGCAAGAAAGAAAAAGAAAGAGAAAAAAGAGAAAAAGAGAAAGAAAGGAAGGAAGGAAGGAAGGAAGCAGAGAAAGAAAGAGGGAGGGAGGAAGGAAGAAAGGAAGGAAGGAAAGACGAAGAAAGAAAAAGAAAGGAAGGAAGGAAGGAAAAAAGAAAAAGAGGGAGGAAGGAAGGAAGGAAGAGAGGGAGAAAGAAAAAGAAAGAAAGAAGGAAGCAAAGAAAGAAAGAAAGAAAGAAAGAAAGGGAGGGAGGAAGGAAGGAAGGAAAGAGACAAAGAAAGAAAAAGAAAAAGAAAGGGAGGAAGGAAGGAAGGAATGAAGAGAGTAAGAAAGAAAAAGAAGGAAGGAAGCAGAGAAAGAAAGAAAGGGAGGAAGGAAGAAAGGAAGGAAGGAAAGAGACAAAGAAAAAAAGAAAAAGAAAGGGAGGAAGGAAGGAAGAAAGAAAGAAAAAGAGGGAGGAAGGAAGGAAGAGAGAAAGAAAGAAAAAGAAAGAAAGAAGGAAGGAAGGAGAGAAAGAAAGAGGAAGGAAGGAAGGAGGGAAGATAAAGAAAATGACTCTATCAATTGCAATACGTTAAAAAGGCATCTGTTCTCCTTGTTTTTAATTCCTTGTAATAATCTATCTAAATAATCTAAATGATGAACTTTCCAGGCCTGCGAGGCTGGCTGAAACATAACATGAACAGAAGAAATCTAATTGTTTCTTGTCAAAATTTGAATTAGGAGAATATCTTGGGAGCATCACCTGGTATTAGGGCTTAGAGTAATATTTATATAAAGTCAAACTTCACATTCATTTTCAGAGAGGTTTCCCCCCCCCTAAAAACACGTAATGCTTCTACTATCTTTCTTAAAAGTCTTATTTAGTTCACCTTTGCTGTATTTTGTTTTTCTGCAGAGATTTCTAATCCCTTTGCGGTTCCAGTTGACCTTAGTGCCTATCCTCTGTATTGCACTGTTGTTGCTTATCCAACTGACCTCACCACAATAAGGAGAAGACTTGAAAACAGATTTTACAGGTTGGATGAATGCTTGCTCTCAGTAATGTATAAAAGAGTTTCTTACCATTGTTCGCTTTTATGCTAAATTAAATCTGTTGCAACTTCTTAATTAAGAGAACTGTAAGTTCTTCTGATTGGACCAACTAATTTGCTAGCAAACGCAAAGGTCTTTTTATTTGGGATGTGTGATCTTGAGAAACTAGGTGTCTTCTGTATTTATAAAAAGGTTTTGCAGTCCACCAAAGTTGATTTAAAACAAAACTATTTTAATTAACTAACAACAGTGAGTATCTTCAGTAAACGGTTAACAGTCAAACTTTTGCATTCTGAAGTTCAGGGCTTTCTGTAAAGGAATGGTGCCCAGGGCTCCGTGTGATGCCATTTTGGACCAGAATGCTTTCTTATCTCCATTTGTTGCGAAGTCGTGTCCGATCCATCGCGACCCCATGGACAACGTTCCTCCAGGCCTTCCTGTCCTCTACCATCTTCTGGAGTCCATTGAAGCTCACGCCTACTGCTTCCATGACTCCATCCAGCCCCCTCATTCTCTGTCGTCCCCTTCTTCTATTGCCCTCAATCTTCCCCAGCATTAGGCTCTTCTCCAGGGAGTCCTTCCTTCTCATTAGATGGCCAAAGTATTTGAGTTTCAGCTTCAGGATCTGGCCTTCTAAAGAGCAGTCAGGGTTGATCTCCTCTAGGACTGACCGGTTTGATCGCCTTGCAGTCCAGGGGACTCGCAGGAGTCTTCCCCAGCACCAGAGTTATCTCCATAACACATAGTTTTTCTTATTAACTTTCAAAAAAATGGAATTGCCTTAAAGCACCTTATGCAGAGTCCATGTATGGTGTGTCTTGTCCAAACCCTTTTCAGTTGCCTAAATCAGAGGTCCCCAACCTTTGGGGCACCAGGTTACATGGAATGCCCTCTGGAATGACCTACCCCCCGACCTACGTACAGTTGCGGACCTGCGCCTTTTTCGCCGAGCCCTGAAGGCCCATCTATTCCGTGCGGCCGGCCTGGCGTAGTTTGATTATGTTTCAGTGGGGATTTTTGTATGGGTGTGTTTTTAGAACAGGCCTGTTATTTAATTCGATTTTAGAACAGAAACTATTTATTTATTATCGTGGTTTTTAGTATCGCCTGTTCACCGCCCTGAGTCCCGTAAGGGAGATAGGGC